ATCACTATGGTAATCTGCAGTGCATAATTGTAAAAACAAAATATATACATGTTTAGATTCACAATTCCAAACAAGTAAAATTTTATTGGAAATACATTCTTTATTTATTTATTTTTTGAGATGGAGTTTTGCTCCTGTCGCCCAGAGTGGAGTGGAATGGTTGGTCTCAGCTCACTGCAACCTCCGCTCCCTGGGTTCAAGCAATTCTTCTACCTCAGCCACCCTAGTAGCTGGGATCACAGGCACGTGCCATCATGCCTAGCTAATTTTTGTATTTTTAGTAGAGATGGGCTTTTACCATGTTGGCCAGGCTGGTCTCAAACTCCTGACCTCAAGTGATTTGCCCACCTCAGCCTCCCAAAGTGCTGGGATTACAGCCATGAGCCACCACACCCGGCCAGGCAATACATTCTTAATAGCTGAATGGGACATCAACTTTGAATTGGTCCATGTCTCTATGGCTGAGTGTTACATACTATTGGAAGGAGACAATTCCTCTTGCTCTAGCCCAGTCCTCCTCCAGTCACCATAAACAAACCAGTATTCTGTCGAGATCAGGTTTATTGACTTTAATGCACCTCAGTAGAATTGAGAGGTGTGTTTCCTAACAAAGGAAAAGGTAGACTTATTAAAGCAGTTGGGGGAGGGTAGAGTTTAAGTGAAATTTAAATGAAGTCCTTTTTGAGAAACTCAAGCAACTAGCAGGGCTGTACAGTGTAAAGGGGTCAGCATCATGTCTGGCTGGCGGAGTAGGCCAGGGTCCTATTTCCCCGGAAACTGCGATACAGAGTTTAGACAGATGTGGAATGTTGTGTCCAGAAACCCCTTATCTGAAGCTCTGCACCTGGGTTGGAAATCTAGGCTGCTTCTCGGTATCAAAGTGACTTATAGATCCTCAAGGCTAGAGGAATATTTCATTCTTTACTGTAATAATTTCTAATAGCAAAGTTTCTGATAGTTTATAATATTAAGAAACAAAATTCTTCAGTGAGTCAAAAGGCAGTAGTCACTCAAAGAATGGAATTAAGACATTTTGCAGCTTATCCTAGGGGGAAAAGCATTGTTTCCTATTAACTTTACAGCCGGCTCTACCCATGTCTTTTATTCCAATCCAAAGAATTGCTAGGCAGATTTTGACCAGCAAAGCTAAGTTTTACTTTTTCAATGTCAATTGGAATGTTCAGTGTTTGCTTTTATTTTTTGGAGACGGAGTCTTGCTCTGTTGCCAGGCTGGAGTGCAGTGGCGCGATCTCGGCTCACTGCAACCTCTACCTCCTGAGTTCCAGCAATTCTCCTGCTTCAGCCTCCTGAATAGCTGGGACTACAGGTGTGCACCACAATACCCAGGTAATTTTTGTATTTTTAGTAGAGATGGTTTCACCGTGTTGGTCAGGATGGTCTTCATCTCTTGACCTCATGATCCACCTGCCTTGGCCTTTCCAAAGTGCTGGGATTACAGGAGTGAGCCACCGTGCCCCTCCAGTGTTTGCTTTTTATAGATGTAAGTGCTGAGAGACCTGGGCCACCTAAACTCTGGGCATGAGGGAGTTATTTTTTTTTTTAAGAGATGGGGGCTCCCTCTGTCACCCAGGCTGGAGTACGGTGGTGTAATCAGCTCACTGCAGCTTCGAACTCCTCGCTTAAGTGATCCTCTTGCCTCAGCCTCCTGAGTTGCTGAGACTACAGGCTCGTGTCACCACGAATGGCTGTTTTTACTGTTACTTTTTGTAGAGACAGGATCTTGCTGGGTTGCCCAGGCTGGTCTCAAACTCCTAGCCTCAAGCCATCCTCCCACCTCAGCCTCCCAAAGTGCTGGGATTACAGGCGTGAGCCACTGTGCCCGGCCATGAAAGAAATGTTGGTATAGCCTTGCCATTTTGGACCACCTTCCAAGTTATATGCCAGAATACACAGAGTAATTTTGTATCATATTTAGCGATCTGTTCACTGAAAATACTTTTGGACCCTCTTTCAACTTTATTGAAAGCAAGAATGAAAGCACCCTACTTGCATATGAATGTGTCAGAGCTACACCGGTATTCCAGATGCCCCTCTATTTGGCACCCCATATGTTTTCACACTTGAGGATGAGGTATCATTGTAAAATTTGAGATGGGTGAGGGGTGCAGCTTGCTTTTGTAAGGTGGAAGAAAGGTGAATGTGGAAAGGGGCACTTGAGATCACTTTCTTAAGTAAGAGAAGAGGTGGCAACTGAGGATCTGGGAATTCCCTAAACACTCCCCACGCCTGGCGGTAATTCCTGGATAACCACATACTGGCCAGGAGCTTTCTGGAAGTCAGTGCTTAGCATGTGGCAGTGGGCGGTGAGGGTAGACGGCCTGGAGATACCGTGTAGTCTGGGCTATCCATTAAGTGGCACTCTGTTGACAGAACAGGGCATTTGAGGGCCAAGGCAGTCATGATTTGTATTCTGTCAAGAATAAATAATATAAATGAATTGCATTGAGGAAATGCCTTTTCCATTTTTAATTGTGCTCAACTGGTTTTCTTATTAGTAATGCACTAGAAAGTCCTGGTTTTGCTTCTTATTCATAGTTTTTTTCCCCCCCTTCCCAAAGTGGTTTTCCTTGGAGGAAACAAAAGTCCATGATTTTTCTTTTTTCTCCTTTGTTTTTCTTCTTTCTCTTTTTTCTACTTTCTAACTACAGCTCAGAGGCTCATCAAAATCAAACGGATGGTTTGAGAGGCTTGTTGACTCAGCCAAAATCCTGGTGGTCTGATGTGCACAAGTATTTTTTTCTCTTGTCCTCAGTACTACCTGCGAATGCTGCTATAATGTCATATATATATATATATATATATATATATATATATATGTAACACAAAATACATATACAGACACAAAAAACATTTTTTCTCTGTGTGTGTGTGTATATAAATACACAGAAAAGTAGTGTGTGTATATATATACATGCCAAACACATGCGTTATATATACACATAAAACATATATATCTATATAAAATATATCTGTAACACATATATATGTATATTCTAAACTTACAATTTCAATGAGTTTGACAATATAGTCCCCAAATACACTTTACTTGCACAGGTTCTCAGGATTTGAAAAAACAAAATACACTTTGCAATCATGTCTCTTAAGCCTTGAAATAAAATTCTTCTTTATGGCACATACATTCTAGACAATTGCTTCTCAAAATTCCCATAGTAACAGAGGCCAGTCCATAGTGAAGTGTTATAATTGGAGTTGTCAGAAACTAGATGAAAGAAGTGGGCATAAAAATTCAATCTGCCGTACTTGAGAATGTGGGTTTTACTTTGGATATCACTTAAGAAATCAGTGCTTGCTGAAGTAGGGCATTTATTTTGCTAATGTGTAGTTCATAACTGCTGTATTTGCTTCTTCTGTTTCAGGTTTCATTTCCAGGGACCCTGTGGAACGACTATTCCTGAAGCCCTTGCCCCTCATGAAAATTAAACTATTTCTTAAGTGTCCTCGGGAAGAAGGCAATTATATCTAAGAACTAGGCCACACGCAGAGAAGAAATGGTCTTATGGCTGGTGAGCTGAATATTGAACAATCTAAAAATACCCTGTTATTCCCTAGCTGGAATCCAACCTGTTGATAAGTGATGGGGGTTTGGAAGTAGCAAGAGCACCACATTCGGAAGTTACAGGGCTGTAAAGTTAATGCATATTATTTGGTTTGAACTGAAAAGTAAGATATCTTTGATGTGTGTGGTTGATTATTGAGAGGGAAAAATTTAGTAAATTAGATTGTCTTAAAAAACACAGTTATCCTGGTTATATTTTTGTTATTTGGGCAAGGTAGAAGTCGAGGGGTAAAAACCTTTTAATTGTGATTTTTGCATGCGTTTCAGTAGAAAATAAAATCACTCTCTACAGTAGGTAATTTATTGTATAAAGACGTTACCCCAGGATATGGCTTTACTGGGGGCTCTTTAACCTTGTTTGGCTACATTACCTCAGTGAACAAGGGGCAACTCACAACAGGAACTCGTGCAAAGAAGGAAGAGAACAGTAGAGATGGGCAGACTGGGATGGGGTTGGGGGTAAGGTGTCCGAAGTTCGCCTGAGTGGGAATTTTTTGAAGTATAAAAAGGACTTCGGGCCGGGCACGGTGCTCACACCCGTAATCCGAGCACTTTGGGAGGCCGAGGCAGGTGGATCACTTGAGGTCAGGAGCTTGAGACCAGCCTGACCAACATGGTGAAACCCTGTCTCTATTAAAAATACAAAACTTAGCCGGGCGTGGTGGCGGGCGCCTGTAATCCAAGCTGCTCAGGAGGCTGAGGCAGGAGAATCGCTTCAACCTGGGAGGCGGAGGTTGCAGTGAGCTGAGGTTGCGCCACTGCACTCCAACCTGGGTGACAGAGCGAGACTCCGGCTCAAAAAAAAAGGACTTCTAACTGGAGGACTGCAGCAGTGGAGGGAAGAGCACAGTCGGTACAAATGCATGGCAGGTGTGAAACGGCTTGATTTGTTCAAAGAATGATGAATCATTTAGTATTGTATAATGGGTAGGAGGAGAGAAACACGGCGATTACAAAGCGTCATGTTTGTCAAGAAATAAAATATACTTGGAAAAAAAGCGTACGTTTGTGTATGTACCACAAACCCCTAGGTGCACTCTAGGGAACGGCGAAGCCATTCTTTCAGGTTTGCTCAGCATTTGCCACGGGCCAGCCCGGCACCAGGAAGGGCGCCGCTTCCACAGGGCTGACTTCCTAACACGCGTCGCCGCGGCCGCGGGCTGGGCAGGCTGAGGGCGCCCGGCACGTCTGTGCAGACTTCTTGAGTCCAGGTCTGTGGCCCGCGTCACCGACGATGACAGCGGGATCTGCTAAAGTGTGTTTCTTCCCATGAAATGCCACCTCCTCCGAAGTGCGGAGCAAACGCCGCCAAGCTGGATCCACTCGGCGGAACCCAGGGCCAAAAAACGGCGGCGAGAAGCGTCCCAGGCCCGCGGTTATCCGTTTTCCGAGCACCGGACTGCGTGAGTCGCATCAGCCCTGTCTCGCCATCCCGGCCGAGGAGGACAGCGCGATGGCTCTTCCTTGCCTTGAGACCAACCCCACCGCCGGCCGCTCTCGCCGGCAGAACATTTTCAGTGGGACCCAACCGGCTCGCGGGTGGCCTCCGCAGGCCACGTGTAAAGAAACACGCCTACTGGCCATAGGCCACGCCCTCGCTCCTCGCCTGCGCCCCGACCTGAGAGCCTCCGAACCTGCAGGGGGCGATGAAACTCTGCTTGCGCTCAGCTTGTAGCTGCTTCCGGGTCAGAGGTCAGACAGTTCAGCGCAGCGTAGGCCATGGTGCAGCTTCGGCCGCGCGCGTCTCGCGCCCCAGTGTCCGCGGAGGCGATGGTGGACGAGGGCCAGCCGGCCTCGGAGGAGGAGGCGGAGCACGGGCTGTTGCTCGGGCAGCCCAGCAGCGGCGCGGCCGCCGAGCCGCTAGAGGAAGACGAGGAGGGAGACGAGGAGTTTGACAACGAGGCCCCGGAGGAGCTGACTTTCGCCAGCGCCCAGGCGGAAGCGAGAGAAGAGGAGCGGCGAGTGCGGGAGACCGTGCGCAGGTTCGGAGCCCGCGGCGGGCGGGGAGAACAGCCCCTTCTCGTCCCTCATGTCCTTACCTTTGCTGACTTGTCACACTTCCTCCTAGGGATAAAACGCTCCTGAAGGAGAAGAGGAAGCGACGCGAGGAGCTGTTCATCGAACAAAAGGTTGGAGGATAGGGAGGAGGCTTCTTAACAGCCCGGCTTTGGGAGGATTCCCGTGTTGGTTGTAATTTGGGCTGGTAGGATATTGGAGTGGGGAAAAGAGTCACCAAGTTGTCCTCTGACAGTGGTGGAAAGATGCTCGGCCCGGGCCTGGCAGTACTTTAGAGAGACGAGGTGGGCGGAGCCCGGAATGTAGAAGCTGCAGTGAGCCGAGATTGCACCACTGCGCTCCAGCCTGGGCAACAGAGCGAGACCCTATCTCAATCTTAAAAAAAAAAAAAAAAANAAAAAAAAAAAAAAAAAAAAAAAAAAAAAAAAAAAAAAAAAAGCCTGTCTTCTTTACTGTCTACCGACTGAAAATAGGAGGTTGCTGTGAAAATTAAATGAGGTGATTTGTAAACTGTAAGGGCTGGACAGACATAGTGTATGGTTGCTTTGCTGTCTAATACTCACCACAGAGCACTGGCTCCAAGTGGATATAACTTAACTGGTTTCAATTTACAGCAGTGACCTGAGGGTTAGAATACCGTGAGCACCCTTTCCACTTTTCATGGAATAGGTCCTGAGTTTTGTGGACCCAATCCCATAGCTTGGAGGTGGCGGGGCAGTATCCAGCCTAATTCGTTTCTTTGCCTAGATGTAGGGCTATTATTATATGTGGTAACTTCAGAAGCAACTCTGGACGTATCATGTACATGATTTTTTATTAATTTTAAACGTTTTCATTCCTAAGAAAAGAAAACTCCTTCCAGACACTGTTTTAGAGAAGTTAACCACAGCTTCCCAGACTAAGTAAGTAATCTTCTTCTATTACTTGCTTATATACATTTATCTTTGAATTATATACTGGTACATTTATTTGAATCCAATAACTGAAGGAATTGTAGATTTAACAGCTACCTTGGTATCTGAATTTGGTGGGAAAGACAGAGGTAACATTTCACTTATTTTGCCATTCATTTTTGTTCATTCCCATAACTGGGTTTTGAATTCCTGATCCCATTGTGTTCATTCAGTACATTTTGTTGACTGCATGTCATTATACTAGGGCAGAGTAGATGGTGGTGAATAAAAAGTGTTTTGAACTGTATCACTTCTCTGAAAATTCGATTTGTCTCATACTTGCCTTACCTGCCACCAACCTGTCCTTCCTCCCTCCCTGTTCCTCACTTCATTTAGCAACTTTGGTGTTTTATGGTTTAAAGCCAAAAGCTATAGTTGTCCTTGGAAATCAGTCAAACCCTACTAAATTTAGCCTTCTAAATATTTGTATATTTTTTTCTATCCTCTTTCTTTCCCCTTAATGTTTTAAATTTAGAAATTTAGCCACTTAGCCACTCTCAAATTTTCAGTAAAAAATCTTTACCAAAAAGTTACTCAGAACTTTAATACATTAAACATAAAAACAAATCTATTTGGTCCAAAGTTCCCTTTCATCTTTTAAAACCAAGCTCAAGTGTCACCTCTGCCTTCTCATTTGCCAACCCCACCTCCCATCACTGCCACCTTCGGTGTGGCCTTTCTTCTGTGCAAGCACTTCTGTATTGTATTCTTCTGTACTTTATTCTGTGTGTTTACATTTCTCTCTCCATTGGACCACAAACCCCTTGAGGCTGTTCCCTGTCTCCTGTGCCTAAACTATTCAATGAATCCTTTGTGATTTCCCCAAATGAAATGAAGCAGGCCTACTACCATTCACGTCATATTTCAAATACTGTGTAACTTAAGTGTTTCACGTTAATTCCATTGCCCATAGCATTTTGCTGCTTCTAAAGCCTGCTAATAGGCTTTCAGATCTGAATTATGAAGATCTTCCAATCCTAGTGATACTGGTTTGTTGATTTGAGAGTTGGTGGCAGTGTACCGGGGAGAGACTGTTGCTTTCCAAAGTGATGAGAGCTCCTGAGTAGAAATGGAGATGTTGTAATGAAAGGGGGTGTCTTACTTGTAAAGCCAGATGAAACAGTATAACATGTTTTGAGTAACCTTTGCCATCTGCCATTCCAGTCATTGGTTTTGTTTTTTTCCCCTTAGCATAAAGAAATCGCCAGGAAAGGTAAAAGAAGGTATGACTATGCTGATTTAAGTAACTTCTCACGTAAGTGTCAAGTGCACTTCAGATGTTTCCAGTCAAATACGGCTGGCCCTTAGACAGCAGGGGCCTGGCCAGGAGGGTTAGCTAGAGCCTGTTCCCTGTATGTCATACCGATAAAAACTGCATCCACATTGGTGTGTAGTGTGCTTCAAGTGAACTCCAGCAAATTTCCTGATTTTTACATGAATTCTAACTAGAAAATTCATTTTTTTAGTTAATTTGCAAAAGAAAAATGAAGACTGTGAAAAAGGAAATGACTCCAAGAAAGTTAAAGTACAGAAAGTACAGTCTGTCAGGTAATGAGTCTTTTGTTTCATTTGGGATGTAAAGGTGACCTTTAAGAGAGTTAAAGTATTGGCTAACATGGGAAAATATTTTAATTAGTTATTAATTTGATTGGACTCTCTGGAAAGATCAGTTTGGGGCGTGGTGGCTCACACTTGTAATCCCAGCACTTTGGGAGGCTGAGGCAGGTGGATTGCTTAAGTCCAGGATTTCAAGACCTGTCTGGGTGACACGGTAAAACCATCTCCATAAAAAATTTTAAAAGTAAGCTGGGCGTGCTGCTATACACCTGTATTCCCAGCTGCTCCAGAGGCCGAGGTGGGAGGATCACTTGAGCCCAGGAGGTAGAGGCTGCAGTGAGCCAAGATTGCGCCACTGCACTCCGTCCTGAGCAACAGAGTGAGACCGTGGCTCAAAAAAAAAAATCGGTTTTCATAAAAAAGATCAGTTGAATACTTTGACCTTCAGGTGCTGCAGGTTAAGTTCAAAAACCTTTTTTTAGTGGTTTTATTATTGAGAAAATTTTCATTTCACCTCTCCCAATAGATAGATAGTTTATTTCAGGATACACTGCAGTCTACTGTCAGCACTCCAAACTTGCCAGCCTGGACTTCTTGAGGCAGTGTAATTTATCTGGCTGCTGAATGTTCCTCTCGTCACCAACCTTTATGGTGCATGGTGCCAATGTGAAGACAGCCATTCCAATGGAAAGGTGTTCACTACTGTTGCCAATCATGGCAGTTCTTCAAAAGGAGTCATTTTTCACAAAATTCAACATTTCCCTGACAACATGGCTTTATCTTCTAACGGTCTATAGAAGTCACAGAGAAAGTGGCTATTGCTGTTACTGAAATTTTGGTCCATACCATGGACGTGTTTGTAATGTCTGTCTTGAAGTACAACGGCATCCGTTTTTTTTTTTTTTTTTTTTTGAGATGGAGTTTCGCTCTTGTTACCCAGGCTGGAGTGCAATGGCGCGATCTCGGCTCACCGCAACCTCCGCCTCCTGGGTTCCGGCAGTTCTCCTGCCTCAGCCTCCTGAGTAGCTGGGATTACAGGCACGCGCCACCATGCCCAGCTAATTTTTTGTAGTTTTTAGTAGAGACGGGGTTTCACCATGTTGACCAGGATGGTCTCGATCTCTTGACCTCGTGATCCACCCGCCTCGGCCTCACAAAGTGCTGGGATTACAGGCGTGAGCCACCGCGCCCGGCCTCCGGCATCCGTTTTAAGCTGCTTTCAATACAGGCTGGTGGTCCAGATATCACTTGCTCGGTGTTTTAGCCATAAGATCAAATATAGAAACAAACATAAAGCAAAGTGCAAGACCCTGCGAGGAATTCATCACAATATGTTGGACTTTCATTTGGCCAAATTTATGTGGCACAATTGATTTGGAAATCATGCTTTTTATTCTCTTTTATTACGTGTATCAGAAAAATTTCCTGTTAATTAATGTTATGTTTTGACTTTCTGTTTGAGTATTTTTTAGTATAAATGTCCAGGGACATGTTCTTCAGTTAAGTACATCTGAAAGGCACATTGTTTAGTTGATCCAAAAAAAACCAAGAATGTGCTCTACTAAAATATGAGTGTTAGTCTGTTTCTTAAAGTCCTGTAAGTTAGTTTTATCCTATCTGCATACACAAAATTAGTTTTATCACTGTAAGACAAATGACAAAAATATTTTATTTGTAAAGCAAGCAGGTAGGCCGAGTGCAGTGGCTCATGCCTGTAAGAGCAGCACTTTGGGAGGCCAAGGTGGGTGGACCACAAGGTCAGGAGTTCGAGACCAGTTGGCCAACAGGGTGAAACCTCATCTCTACTAAAAATACAAAATTAGCTGGGTGTGGTGGCAGTTGCCTGTTACCCCAGCTACTTGGGAGGCTGAGACAGGAAACTGCTTGAACCCAGGGAGGCAGAAGTTGCAGTGAGCTGAGATCGCACCACTGCACACTCCAGCCTGGGCGACGAAGCAAGACTCCATCTCAGGGAAAGAAAAAAAAATAAGCATGTATAATTTTCATTTATTTTAACCTTTTATATTGATCAACAGCCAGAATAAAAGCTACCTGGCTGTCAGGCTGAAAGACCAAGATCTGAGAGAGGCAAGACAACAAGCAGCACAAGCCTTCATCCATAATTCTTTATATGGGCCAGGAACTAACAGGACTACAGGTAATTTTTTTATGGACTATTTTTCTCACTTTTTACTGCAAATAAAACAATGAAATGATAATACCTTTCTTTTCTAGTAAATAAGTTCCTGTCTCTTGCTAACAAGAGGTTACCAGTAAAAAGGGCTGCTGTCCAGTTTTTGAATAATGCTTGGGGTAAGATCCAGCTTTATTCTCCTGTCTCTAATAGCTTGTTGAATAATGTTCTTTTGAAGGAGATAGTGCATAATTATACTTTTTCCCCCTTATACCAGCTCATATATTACTTGTGAAAAATAGGTCGTCAATGTATGTATATATATAATGTATGATCTAATAAGTCCACCCAGTTTTAGTAATTACATTCATATAATTATAAAAACATTTTGAATTATGTTTCTCTAATATTCTTACTGCACAAAACTTTCTGTTCTAGGAATCCAGAAAAAACAAAATGCTAAGAGGTTTAAAAGACGGTGGATGGTCAGAAAGATGAAAACTAAGAAGTAAATCAAAGCTAAATGAAGAATCTGTATGTATAGAATTTAATAAATCATTCACAAATCATTTTAAAGGATCACTATAAGAATCATAAACTTATTTGAGGGAGTACTCAACCACATTTCATTCTTCTGGAGAACTGTGCCTTGTGTTGGCAATCCTAGAGGAAAAAAGTTTAAGAAGGAATTGTTTTCTTTTTAATATATTTAACTGAATTCAAGCCATACCCACATCAGCAACAGCACTTCTTCTACTCTGCCCCCTTGAGGGGTTTGCGAGGGGGCAAGAATGGCAAGGACAAAAATGAGAAATGGACATTCCAGAAAAGTCTCTAACTGTAGCCCTTAAGGTGTTTGTTCTTAAAGATTCAGTGCACAATATACAGTCGACTAACATAACTTTCAACCAGTCTGGGGATTTGCTTGCCTGGCGAGTCTCATACCTCATATTATTAATATGAAAATAATGAAGTTAATTTCCTGTTGCCTTTCTGTGTCACCCACAGTATCAGGTTTAACCCTAATCCAGGGATGCCAGTAAACTGAAGGCAGTTTTAGGTTGTAGAACTCAGATTAACTGTAGAAACCATTAATTTTAATTGTTCTAATTTTCATATTAATCATAAAAAGTATACAAGTATCTAATATATAAACTCAGTTGACACTGTATCTGTAGAAGTAAATTTTTAATGGCTGGTTAATTATATCACTACATTTTATTGCAATATAGTACTCATTTAAGCACTTAAAAATGGAAGGTGTACAAAGATTAAATTAAGACACGGTAAATTGACTAAATATTTGGTTTTTATATAAATAAAGGTCATAACCACACCGTTGACATGTAATACTGTTATAATACAACAGTTAAACTTGTGAGTCTACAACAGAAGTCATCTGTAGTTAAACAGGAAACAAAGCTGAAAAAGACCATGTTAAAACAAAACTACTGGGACTAACAGGCTGGGATTGTAAGTAGCAACAAACATATTCACTCAGCTCCTGAGTATTTCAAGTTTTACAGTACACATTAAAAATGATTTCTTCCATCAACACTATAAATTCAAACTGTCGGATGTTTATGCATTTTGCAAGTTACACTGATTGAATGCTTATATGGGAGTGAGGGTTGGAACATCTCCCAATTTGAAGTTTACATCACCCACATGCTAACACAAACACAACTTGTTCCATTTCCTTCCCCTCTTTCCCCCCTCCCCCACAAAGAAGGCAGGATTTTTGGTTTCTTTTAGGTAATTATTTTAAAGGATTTGTGATGATCAATTTGAACGTCTGAAATTCAGTAATATTTAACTCTTAGACAACTAAGAGGTTAAAGATGGAAAATAATTTCTCCTAACACTAAGTTAGAAAATCATTTGCATCATGCTGTAAACTAGGAAGCAATGTAAAGCGACAAAAACCTGTCCCCAGTACATAATTTAAAAAATCTAAATTTCAAATCAGCAGAGCCGGTCTACTTCCATATTGACTATATGCCACAATATAAGTGTGAGCTCTTGAAATGCATAGCTAATGTAGGTAGTCTTCCACTGTGGCAAATGCACAGGATCCAATTCCTGATCGAGCCATCAGTCCTAGACATTGTGTGGCCTGTCCCATTGCTAGGGCAAGTGGAGGTTGCTTTGGCAGATTGTGGGTTTCTGAGGAAAAATAATTTTAAAATGAAAACAGCAATTAGCAAGACATTAAAAAAAATAATCTGGAAAATGCTACATGACTTTAAAAATTACCAGTTCCCATACTAGCAAATACTAGCAAACGAAGGTTTCTAGGCAAAAGACAGATGCCTTGGACATACTATTCTGACAAGGTAGTTATGGGTATTGTGTATTCAACTATAAGATAAACTCTTGCAGAACCAGACTTTTAAAGTATCAGATAATAAAAAACATTTCTATATTAATTATGATGGGACAGATACAACTTTTTATCTGATGTACCCTTGGAATGGAGAGTAAGGAATTATTTCCCTTTTGGTTGATCAAAGGAAGTGGATACTAACTAAAAAAGATACCAGGTTTTCATTACAAGTTTCCACTGAGAGGGTCTTCCACCTCTGGATAGGACCAAACTCAGGCTACCCTAGCCATCTCCAAGGCATATATATAGGTGAATGTGATTTGCGTTGATGAGGAGTAGGTGATGGTGACGGCGAGCGAACGTAGAGCAAAGTCACCCTGCAGTTTTGGAGGTACTAATTTACAATGGACAGTTCGGACATTTTAAAAAATGCTGGTAAGTTTTCAGGGTCCTGCATACCACAAGTTTCTTTGTCAGACATTTGTAATACAAATACAAAAATTACCAAAATTTGTTCCTTACCAGAGATGGGAAAAAATGAACTAATGGTAAGGTGGCCAGACTCAGAAGCTGGTAATTTCTCTTTATGAGAAGGCAATGTCCAAACCAATCAATCAAATTATTAATCAGTTCTCTTCACAAGCACAGTTGACAACAAAGGGCAAAAACAGTGACACATGGCTGGGAAGACTCCATATAGTTTAACTCCACTCTTGGTTCAGAGGATGCAATGTGGTGGTGGGAAAAAGAAAATTTCCAAAAGGGATAAAGCGCAAAATCAAAAAGAGGCAAATTCAGGACTTAAAGGTAGAAAACGAAACAGGATTAAGAATAAAAGTGTGCAAAAAAGGCACGTAGATTGGTGACAAAGTATGGTGTCTTGAGGGTTCCCAGGGAAGACTTGCTCAAAGGCAAGCACCTAGAGGGAACATTACTGTAATTTTATTTTGGCCAAAGGAAGCATCTGGTGATACATCTTTAATTTTTTTGGACATAGGAAATTTTATAGCACTTATATATAGACGAACCTACATAATATAGCATGGTGTTTATAAACATACACATACCCATCTATAGCAATTTAGTAACTCATTAATTTTATAGGAATCACATTAATAAGGTTAAGCACTATAGCTGAATCTACATAATACAGCACAATATATAAGAGTATATGTGTCTATAAATAATGGTGCTCAACAAATTCCCTTGAAGAACTCAAGAAATTAAAAAACTTATATGAAAACTGATCAGTTTTCCTCAAATTATTTTCAAGTTCAGTATCATCTAATAATTAGGTCTTAATGTTTACCTACAATATGGTAACTTCAAAATGGCAATAGTAAACCATAATTTTCCTTACAATTCCAGCATTATTACTAAGTTACCTTTACCAGTGGAGCAAAATGAATTTTGTAGAAGCAAAGAAAATTTAACACATTAACCAAAGAAAATTCACATTTACACACAAATCCTAAATTTTGGAGAAATACAACACTAAGGACACTTCTCCTATTCCCAAACTTCAGTATTAGTCCTTAACAAATTAATAAATTTTCTAAGGGCAAAGAAACAGATTGAGGCTCAAATATGAATGCTTTTCATTGCTTCCTTTACCTCCTGCTGTAAGAGTCTGGGCCCTGATTACAAGTCTCCCTATCAAAACTAATCTTTCATCTACTTTTTGTGGCACTGCCCTCATCTTCCTAAAATAGTCTAAAATATGTGACCAAAAGTCCCTGAACCGGCTGGGTGCGGTGGCTCACGCCGGTGATCTCAGCACTTTGGGAGGCTGGGGCAGGTGGTGGATCACAAGGTCAGAAGTTCAAGATAAACCTGGCCAAGATGGTGAAACCCCGTCTCTACTAAAAATACAAAAGCTAGCCCGGCACAGTGGCAGGCACCTGTAATCGCAGCTACTTGGGAGGCCGAGGCAGGAGAATTGCTTGAACCTGGGCAGCAGAGGCTACAGTGAGCCAAGATCACGCCACAGAACTCCAGCCTGGGAGACACAGTGAGATTCTATCTCCAAAAAAAAAAAAAAAAAGTCCCTGAACCTTAGCAGAGCCAAACAGGACAGCACAGACTTCTAAACTAGACTGGAGTCCCATTTACGTGGGACTCTTAAGTCAAATGAAAACTTACCCTGTAAAAAATTAAACAAGTTTTAATTTTAAATGGGATTGGAGTCCCATTTACCTGGGACTTTAAAGTCAAATGAAAACTCACCTTTTACAAAATTAAAACTTGTTTTATGTAAACAATCGACCCTACCACCATATTTATATTAGAAATGCACAATATGTGCAGTTATGCAATTCATATAAAATGTATTTGTTCAGCATATAAATTCTATAATCACTCTTCAGTGAGTTGCTCATATAAATGGCAACCAAACAGGAACATCAAATTAGAGTTTTGCAATTTACGCTCAACCCTGGCTAAGCCTCAACTTTTTAATTGCTTTTCTCTTCCTTACCCACCCTTTTTACTGGGTGAGGGCATGTAGTTAAATCTGGTTAATATAAATGCAAACAGAATTTGACATCAAGGCTTGGTCCTGACAGGGTACTTACTCATAAGTCACTTGGAAGCCCCTTGTGCCCATATCATAAGCATGGTGGGAGCTGTGGCTCAGGCTACCACTACCCATTGCAAGTATCTCAAGCAAAATGCTGGGAAACAAGGTAACAGGGGAGCACCAGCTAGGAATCCTGCCCTCTACGGGATCAGTTTGAGCTTCTCTGATATTCAAGCTCTTCACTCATTTCCATTCTCATTCTCTCCATCAAAACCTCTACTTCTTGACCTCTTCATTTTCTTCAAATATACCCTGTTCCCTTCTAGCCTCTTGTGACAATTATTATACTATGTTCTTGCTAACATTCTCCAATTCCTTCTACAGCAGCCAAACTAGGAACTAGAGAATGCCACCCAATTCCTAGCCTAGAAATCAGTGGTAGAAAATGCCTTTCACTAAAGACGGCTGTAAAGAATGTCTCTGGTATGGTAATATTCTGAATTATACACAAGGACCACCAAATCTCTCATTCTAATGAGAAAAGTAGACATTAGTGGTTACCAGAAATGCTTACATACATGCAAACAAAAACTTCTATTTCCCAAACATCCCAACTTGTACCCAGTGTTACTGTTTTTATTTTATTTGAATCCATTTGAATCTAGAATTAAAGGGGGGGGGGGAGATTTCTATATTTTAGGTATTTTTTATATTTTAAAACTGTGGAAAAACATTTTCCCTGTGATTTTACCAAAGTACAAATGCCAGTACAAACACTCTCTCTTAAATTTTCAGAGAATCTAGTTGAAATTGTGCCGTATTTGGCTTTACTTACCTAATATTGCACTGTTAAGAGCTGAGCACACAGGTTCTCTCTGAATTGGGTCAAGCTGATTTCCAACTGGGCTGTTCCAGGGATCTGAATATGCTAGTAAACTGAATGCATCCTGTTAAAAACACGGTTTTGGTTTTAATTCAAATAGTTCAACTATTATGTTCACAAATGTT